TTTTTTTTTTATTTTTTTTTTTGTTTTTTTTTATTTTTTTTTGTTTTTTTTTTGTTTTTTTGTGTTTTTTTTTTTTTGTGTTATTTCTTTTTTTTTATTTTTTTTTTTTTTTTTGCTTTTTTTTTTTTTGTTTTTGTTTTTTTTTTTTGTTGTTTTTTTGTTTTTTTTTTTTTTTTTTTTTTTTTTTTATGTTTTTTTTTTTTTTGTTGTTGTGTATCGTCACCAGAAGCGTGCAACAAATAGGCACGTGAGCATGATTAATTTTCGTTATGGATGCGAAACATGTTCAAACATCCGGCATCCCGTAAAAGGGCGAGTGCAGTAGTATTGTATTACAAACGTTTAGCATAATCCAGGAAACCAAGCATGGTGGCCTAATACGCGACTTCGGTTGCAGGATGCTACTTGGTACTATGAAAATACGAAGCCGAAGGAAAGAACTGTGGCTGATGTCAGCTGTTGCGGAGACTAATAAGATTAGTGCAATGGAAAAGGAATGCTTGAAAGTAGGAGGGAATAGGGCTGATCGTGTTTACAATCCGTTGCGCTTAGCAGGTAGATCGATGGTTAGAAAAAACACAAAAGCTTATCTAAAATGAGCTGGAGATTTCATTTGATAGCCATGCCTATATATCGGATTGGATGTCGTTGGTGAGTCCAAGCACTGTTAACGGAGTGGACATCGTCCTCAGACAAAATCTTTGGTCCTCAAACCTGACTTCAGCTCTGCAGTAGTATTAGTACGGCTAATGAGATCGGCTATTTCCAGTCTTCAGCCTCCTGTACTGCTGCGAAACAGCCGGTGCTCCGCACACAGTTGTAATAGACACTCGCGGTTGCCCATATATTCGGAGTTAAGCCCATACTTACAGCCTATCTCAGCTTCTGAGGAGCTTAGATGACCATAATGCGTACTTATATCCCCCACAACAATAACGTCGTGTAGAAGCGTTTTCAGTTCATGGTAGAAAGCGTCTTTGGTAGCCTCAGTAGGTGGGACATAAACGGCAATAGATAGCGTCCACTGTTGTACCGTGCGCTAACCTTGACTGATTTTGTCAAACGGGCTGTACAGACGGCTACCCAGGGAAATCAGAACAACCAATGAAGAAAGATGCCAACCCAATCTTGAGCTGTGGTTGCTGCATCAGTGTCACCGGATGCGTGCAACCAGCAGCTAGAGAACAAACATAATGGGGTTTGTCGAACCGACATCGAAAGTAGTTTCGAACACGAACTACATTTCGACAATTGATGTGTCCAATGTGCGCGCAAGTGCAGCCGGCTGACCTGTCCAATGTTCAAAGCCGCCCGAGAAACAAGCCAGCGTGGCCTGACAATGGGGCTATTTATGACAAGTCAAAAGGGTACTGCTCGAAGTTGGTTGCATCTGGCAGAATCCCAATGGAACCGCAGCTGCTGTCAGTTAAGCTGGGGGCTGTAAAGGAACATAATAAATGGCGACAGGAAGGGGATTTAGAGAAGAGATGGAAAAGAATGGATTATCAACAGTAGCATGTTCACGATTATCCATCCTGCGGTATGCAGCAGGTAATGGGACACTTTTGACTCGATGTGACTAATGATGCAGAACGTGAGTCGAAATTGGTGGGAAATTTACTTATTCGTGGGATACTACCAGGGTGTCTAAACCTAGCCAGACCAACGACTAGAATTCGCAACCAGTATTTTGCTTAAAAGCCTGACCGCTAGGCAGCGGGGAGATAACAATGGTCCGGCTTTATAGAAATGCACGCCATCCCATTGTTAACGCCTTCCCAACATGAAGGGCCAGATAGATGAGTTAGTCTGACCTGTAACCATTGATCAACCGGGTATGGGCAATTCTCAGAAAACCAGAGACGCAACCCAGTGTGGCTGTGGGCGGTCATCATCATCAACAGCAGTACATCAGCCATTTGAACTGGTGCTTCGCTGCCATACAACCATGAGGACCTATGAGATAAAGAATAAGAAGAGGGAGAGAAGGGGGACTTACCTGAAAACCTTAATGCCCAAGCATTCAGGCTGTGGGCGGGGAAGTACGCAGCCAAAGCTAGTGAGGTGCCAGAGGACTTCATCACTCCAAACGTTAAATTGTATGCCATTCACTCGATACTTTCTCCAGATATGGCACATACAAACATGAGATAACAAGCGTGATCAAGCCCTTGAATTGCTCAACAAATAGTCCTCGCACTTGATCTGTGCAGCGGCAATGTGCACGGAGCTTCATAGATAGTACACTTGGTTGCCGATCTCGCTGCATCCTTGAGTGCTCGACGTACTGAAAACCTACAATTATTCATATGTACGCGGAAATCCGACCAGTGAAAGTGATTTTCCTAAGTAGATATACAAACCAACCAAATTAGACTAATTGCTTAGCATTTGTGGGAAACTGTGACATCAGAGCAGTCACAGAGAATCATCACCGTTCAACGGCACAAAGATAGCATTTAGCCAACGTTTTCCACCGCTGGTTAATGTAACTGCGATCCACGCATTGATACCGTGGAGGCAGACTGGCCACTTCAGACTGTTACACATTCAAGCGGATAGGTAGTCGTAGGCCCCGAGAAGCCTCATCGATAAGTGGGACAACCTCCACAGCTGAACGCCCATCCCACGTCGTATAAAAAGGGTATAGATCATTAATGTCCATCTGGTTCAAGACCAGTGCATTGTGTGTCAAAGGCGATGCCCGTAGCGCCGGAACACACAGCCCGACCGTTAATGTCCAACTTATGAACAGTCTTGATTTCCCCACCTACCAAATACGCGATTAGATAGGTCCTGTTTAGCAACGTAAGGAATAGATCACTCAATCATAAAACATGAAAGGTAAGCAAGCCCGATTTTTGAATACCGTTTTCCTGCCTCCTATCCTCCTACTAAGTTCGTATGTAACATGACTGAGAAGGTCCAGCGGCGCGGCTCTAAATCTGTTTCTGAGTTGCGTGACCTATCCTACCTCCTTGAACCTGTTCGACCTGGATTACGGTCGCCGCTGTAGAGGTTTGATTTTCACTCGAGGTATCTTTGGATAACAGCTGGTGAGAGAGCTGCAGTTCTTTCATCGCGGCACTGGAACATCGACTAGAGATCACAAATGGAAAGTATTCAAAGTGATGAAGCTCCCGTACAATGAATGACTGGAACCGATTGCCGGAGCTAGTCGTTGATGGACAGACGGAAGAATGTTTCAAAACGCTATTGGATTCTTACTTACTGAATATGTCGGGATCTTTCCGTTTCCACTGCAACTGTGACGGTCTTCTGCGAAGCTCCGTGTCGCAATGATCAACTCATCCCTGCAATGACCGGAAAGCTACGGAGCTGATAAAGGATCTCCTTTCTGCTTTCTACTATCCAGTGATCTAATGACAAGGGGTGAATCACTTATAGAGCAAGTTTCGCATGCTCCCAAAGGGCAAATTGCTGATGTTTGGTTGTAAAGCGCAATAAACGCCACACCAAAAATGCCAAAGTAGACAATACTTTGGATGTCGAAAGTATCCATTTAGATTAGGTGTCACCAAATCGCCCTTTGTGGCTTCAAAGCCGCCAGCTCGAGATTTTAGGCATCAGTGAAGACAGAAATCATACACCAGGCGGTACCTTACAAGCAAGATGATCCGGTTAAGGGGTCAGATCGCATAGGTTCCTTGGGTTGACAATGCTGCAGAGTTGAAATAGCCGGATGCACAAGAAGTTTGACAGGTAAATATTTAATTGCGGGGTCCGTGGAGTAGCTATTTCAAGCAAGCCAAAGAATAATCAATTTTGGTAGATGATACGCTTGACTTAAGTCACCAGGAGCTCGAAACGGTCGTAGACAAAGCGTTATGAGATGCCCCTGAATACGGGTACCAAACGGTTACAAGCCATCGCTGATCGCACCAATGGATGCCCCATCGCAAGAAATAAATACATGCCAGTGTGTGAATCATACATCACAGCCATAATTACACCGCTAGCTAAGTACAGGGAATGACAAACTGGGTGGGAAACGCAAAAGTAGCTTGGAAGCAAGACGCTTGCAAGCTATTAATGGCATGCGATCAAACATCCAGCGGCTATACGATGATGACAGCATTCAGCTTCCTCGTGGTCTCCATTGCCTCGCCACAAAATCAACCTTACACCACAGGCAAGCTGGTGACGAGATCAAGCGTCAGCGGTGCCAGTCGTGTGGACCCTGAAACGAGGAAACAGCACCCAGGTTGATGTTAAGCGACATCGTTTCTTGCTGCCACGTTGACAAATGTAGTCTCGGACTACAATGACATCCCAGTCAGCACGTGCCCGCGCATATGCAACTGACGAACTAGTTTGATCATTCGGGCTGCTGACCTGTCCATCGAGTTGGGCAGTTTAATTAGACATTTCACCACCTTGATTGGCGGCGGAATGTCTGCAGATAAATTGCCCAGCTCAGTGAGTAAAGCAACATCTCAAACGTTATCAGAACTACGGATATTCTCAGTTTACTTTACTATCACCGCCCGGAACTCGCTTTCGTACTTCGCGATAGGTTTAGCACTTCAGTTATACATCAAATAGCCGCAGTTGGATTTGAGCAACCCGAACGAAGTGGCTACGAGATGAGGTCAGACAGAAGTGCCCAACAAAGCTCACTGGCTGGTGAACCAGTCGGCGTTTTTTTAGTGCGAATTACGGCACTTATGCTGCCACGGACTGCGTCACCAATAGATGAATAGCAGGGCAGGGCTGTTGGGACAGGTTGCTGCTCATGACTGTGTCATTTCCTAAGCGAAACCGAGGCCACTAGACCCTGTTACCAGACGGCAGACACCGTTTTGACCCGCGTCATATGGTCTACCAATTGCAGTGTCTCGTGGCAATAGGATTGCTACTCTTGAGTTCCTGCCGATTTGTATTCATGGCCCGGGGAGGCGATGAATCAAGAGCCCACAAAAGATGTATGGTAGCAAAAAGTATATCCTAATAAAAATCAATATCTACAGACTATGTATGTGAAAGTCTAGTATGCAGCATCCCGGAAAACTTGTCCGTATTAAAATAAAAGGTTCGCGAGCCACCTGTACTAAAACAGACGGCGCAGTTGACGGATCACGGAAATGCGACAATAACAGGAGCCAAAGCGGAAAGTAAGCGATTACTGGAAACAGTAGTCAAACCAACCTATGAAGGTAACGGAGAAAGCGCCATGGCACCACGTGTAACTGCCGCAACGAGTGCTCCAAAATATGCTTTATTAACAACCAAATGCAAATGGGCTGAGACAATGTGAGTAACGAAACAATGAGGATAATCGCGGCGATGATGGTACTATTGCGGTGGTTATAAAATATGAAACAGTGGACGGGTAAAATCGGAATTTAACACATGAAGGAATGAAGGATACGGTATTCTTCACGCACAAATGAGTATGAACAGAATGAACCCAAATAACATATTACTGGTTGCAACGTGCTGTAGCATGTAATGGTCAATTTGTTCTCCACTTATAGCGATATACACAGCTTTCTCTGTGGTAATGTGAATCCGAAGTTGCCTTTCTCACACAAGGGGGATGAAAACGGGGATATGCAAAGCCCGCGCGTAGTGGATGAAAAACAGCTTGGTGAGCTCACGCTCCAGAGACATTTTAAGTGCGAGAATACTGCAGGACTCGGATTTCTTAAGTGTTTGACGTTGTTCGTGTACCCGTAACATGAGGGGCCTAGAGGTCAGGGCATAGGGGAAAACATTGGTTCAATAAAAACGCCTTTAAGTATAAATCAAACGAGGATGACGAAGCAGAACCACAAACTATTAGGGGGCTGTTTCGGAAATCGCTACATCAGCAGTGAAGTCGCCAGCGGCTGGGGCGGGGACGAACTGAATCGGGGCATCAGTAACAGCACCAAGCTTGTTTTGAAGTTCAGGCTCCGCGAAGTCGGTGGGTTGTATGGCATCATCTGTAACTATAAAAGGAAAATGTCAGGTAAACCGAGTGCAAAAAATGACAAATCAGGCAACCGATGATGGTGCCACCAAATCGGTTAACCGCAATAGCAGTGAACGATTGAACATACCATTGCTTGAGACATGGCTGTGACCACCGTTGAAAGTGCTATTGACCATGGGCGCAGGCACTGGTTCGGAAATTTCCTCATAAATAGGCATATCAGGTTCGCTGGCGGGTTCATCAATCAAAGTCGGTTGCTTGACTTCCACACTCGTGACAGAAGGGAGCTCGCTGGTATCTACCTGAACAAAGTCAACAAGGAGCTGACCGTCTTCTCCTTGAACTGAAACTGCTGCTTGGACTTCAGCACTATTGGGTGCTGGGACATCAGTTTCTTGTATAACCTCGAAATCAAGTCCCCTGGGACTAATCACTTCACGGGGTTCCTCAGTGACTTCCTGTGCAACAGTTTCATCGACTTCTCGGGCCACATCCGCTGATGCGGATTGTTCGACTAAGAGGGTTATTGGAAATAAAAAAACATCCTACCAGCTAATGGTTCATCTGTTTTCGATTTCTTTGAAGGGAGTTCCTGTGAGTCAGCTACAGACTCCTCTTTAGTGGAGGAGCTCACGTCTAGACCGTTTAGTTCTTCTATGCTGCTTTCGCTCTTAAGTTGGGACCGTTGGGATTCCGTATCTTCTGAGGTGGCCTTGTTTGACTCGGCAGATTGTCGCTGGAGAGGATGATAAGAAAACGGCATAGTTGCTTACTTTACGCCTTGGCGATTTCGCTGGAGACTTAGCCGGGGAAGCGGCTTGTGCCGCGGCAATGCGGGCGCTGGTTCGCCGAGGTGCAGAACCTTCCTCTGAACTGTGACCAGACCGACGAGGCATAGTGCTGGAACAGACAAATTTGCGTATGCTACATTGTCGAAATGTAAGACACAAAGTGGGGATGCTAGGTTTGAATGTTAATGCTCATTTGAAGTATTAATCTGATTTGATGTCAACAGCAGTTTACGCCTACCTACCGCTATTCGTTAGTGAAGCCCATAAAAGTAAACTGGACTGTACTTTCTTGTTTTGCCAGTGCCCAGAACATGGTTATTGAGATGAAGAGACCAGTTAAACCCCCGTGAAAACATTTGACAAAGCCAAGAGCCAATATGACAGGCCGACCTATCACGGATGAAATAGCAATAACGACAACAACTAAATAACTTAAAGCACTGATATAACATGCACGCTTAAAGACTTCGTGCCCCCATCTAGACGAAGCTAAGCGTTTTCAAAATTTGTTGCTTTTGTCTGGTTTATGGTTGACCAATGCCTGAGCAGATGCTAGTTGACGCAAACCCTGATGTCACTAATGGACGGTCAACTGACAGGTTTCCGTGATATCGGATCGATACGGGTGTGGAAAAAACTTCACATGTTAGAGGCTGTACCGAATGTTACCTAAACGACCAAAAATACTTATCAACGTATAACAAAAAGGTTAGCGAATGTGTGTTTCGCTGGTCTTGCTGTGTCCGAATTATATCCAATAAGGGAGTGAAATCGGAGAAAAAAAAGGGTTACGCAGATGAAAAACCGTGTCCAGCATTTATCACATTGACTCAGTTACCCAGTACGGTTAGCTGTGCAATACATGCATTCTACTAGAAAACTGCACTGATTGTGGGTTCTATGGGTTTCTTTAATATTAAGTGCTGTCTTAATAATTGCTGATAGTAATCAACAGGAATCGGGAATTGATGGAAAACTGCATTAGGAAGTGCTGCCAACTTTTGTTGACTTTCCAATTTTTCCGTCGTAGCCTTTCATGGACAGAAATCCGTACTTAAGAGGACACTTGTGAAACCAGAAAAGCAGTGATATGATTGACAGGTTTCATGATTGCAATGAGTGTCTGATGGGAGGAAGAACACCCGCTACATTAGGAGGTACGAAGACAAACCTGGAGAAATATGACCAATGTGTATATTGGCATGCAAACTGGATTGTTGGTTTGGAGCCGAAGCCTCCACAAGAACCAGCGAGGACTACGAAGCAGACGCTCAAAGCGGCATGAACATCATTACTGGTATTCTGGTGAGTACAGAGGACTTGAGTTGGGTACTCACAAAAGCATAAAGCTACAAAAGCTCATACGGCACTGGGTGAGAAAAACCAGCATGTAATCACTTAATGGCGATAACACATTAGTAGCGATTCAATACTTTCTATCAAAAAACACGGGTTTGATAGCGGCATCCGTCGAGTAGTTGGCGAAATGACTAAGCAATGGCATTTGTGAAGATTATTTTGGGATACTGAGGCTGCAATGTTGCGGAACATAGCGAATGGCTTTTGTGTCTGCAAAATACGGATCATACGAGCCGTAGCACACGAGGTGAGGACTCTGCAGACGTTTCGGACATACAGAAGCAAGAAGTAAGGATACTGTTCCCAATGAATACTGCGCAGACCAAAACAACCAGAATGGGCAGCCTAGGTGAAACCGCATGAAATGTAGTGTAAGGTATTAGTTTGGATTTCTGTGTGCAGACCGAAACCAAGTTGTATTGTAGTCAGCTCCTCGGTAGCAATAGCGACCCTCTGTGTCCAGAAATGGGAGAACAATGAGAGAACGATCCGTCAACTGAGATTAGAAACGATGCTACGCAATAGACAGCATCAATATGACGGAGGTGTAGTCTGAGTCCAGGAAATTTTGAAGTCGCTTCACTTGTGGCTTAAGCATATGCAACGAAATGCGTGTCGGTCACCACTCACGTGACGATGGGACGTCACGTGATGGATCGGTGCTAAAAGGAACATAATCGAGGGTGTACCCTACATCCCCTGAAAGGTCGCAAATTACAGCTACCTTAGCACACGGAAGACGTCGACCCAAACGCACCGAAAAGCTCAGATTGAGGGGGCCAACGACCAGACACCTAAGAAAGTGGAAAAGCACAACATTTAAAGAAGGGTAATCTCAGTGGTAGAAATTCACTGACAAACAGTGCAAAAGCGCGATGATTTCGGGGAGAAGGAAGGTCGAGAAAGGAACGATGTGGACAGACACCTAGGGGACGCGATAAGTCAGGTTCAGAGCAAAAAATACGAGGACAGCAAGTATATCAAAATGACGCCGAGAGAGGTTTAGTTCCTAAGCAGTTTAATACCGTACAAGTTTGTATATTAGCGAGAAATCTGAGTGACTGACAAAATAATCAAGAAAACTGAGGAAAGCCAAATGTAGACAAACCGTCAGTAAAAAGCCGCGAGGGAGGGATGCGAATTTAATTCGAGCAAGTTAAAACAACGTTCAGTTCTAAGAGCCGATTTGAGATACTTAGAACGACGAATGGGCACTCATGTGATTGCAAAGAAAGTCAGTAGCTGCTTACTTACGCTCTACATGCTAAAGTCTATTTTATGAAGTTTTTTAACGTGCTTCAGTGAAACAGGGCAATTCCGACACGGCTTTATCCTTATGCTGCTTGACCCGTTACAGTTAAAAAATAGAGGTTTATTTGCTTGAACTACTATAAAAACGGCCATTCAACTGTAACTTGAAGTTGCCAGTGCGTAGTAGATCCGAGGATGGCGGGCTTTTAAACTTTAAAACAGTTTTTTACATGAGTTGATGAACAGCAAGGGATTTGAACAAATTTGTTCCGTAAGTTGTTACCGTATACCTCTTCTTGCGTCGGTAGTGCATGTTCATGGTTCGTTTGAAAATGGTGGATAATTATTTTCAAATGTTTGACCTGCAGCAAAAGAATCACATCGCGTTCCGATGCTGTTCAGGCTTCTATATAACGGATGATTGGCAGTCACTTTTTGTGGTACCATTGCTGGACGTTACCATGAGCTGCAGCATCATCCGTCCCCAGTTGTCAGCTTTCAGGGTGAAATGTGCTGAACTGCAAGGAGCGAAATCCACCCATCTTCCGATCACCCGACACTTCCTCAATGTTCTTGCTCAGCTGCGACTAAGCTCCGCTCATACGTGCTTGTGCCTCCCCATACCACTCTCTGATATAGGCACTTCAAGTAGGCAGAATCGACTCCTTCCTGACTCTCCCACGACAGCACCAATACTGATAGATGGTTTTGTGCGCCGCGATCTAAGGCATGTGCAACAGAGAACAATTATTACACGAACCACTCAAGGCACTACAGCTACTGCTGTGCGCAAGACGATTGCGAATGCTGTAGCGAGGCCTACTTCGTCTCAGCTAGGATTGGTTTTGGGCAGAATGACGCAACCAGCAGGTCTGATGAAGACTAACCCCAGCACACAGCACTCACCTATACCTGAGGGAACCAAGCGCCCTCCTGTGAACGGTGGTCAGTCACTGTTACTGTGTTTGAGATGCTCTGGAGACACCATATGAAAGCGTACAGTACAATCACATCTTCCAAACGCACGTGGTTTATATTCTTTCCATAATAAGGGAAATTGATGGATTTTGCTCTGCATTTGGCCTGTGGTGTTAACAAGAAGACCCCCTCAACCTCCAACACCAAAACGTTGTCTGCCAGAATGCATAGCAGTGCTGCATACCATCGGACGGGTCTCATGTCTCAAAGGAGGAATGATTTATGCTTTTTGAGAACTCCTCGCTTAAGACAAAGCAAAAAGAACACTCAGTAATCAAACTACAAACCTGTAGATGAACTGGTATAACCAGCTTGCAACTTGTGGATTTTAAGGTAATCCAGATAGTCCAGAGTGTCGTGCAGCCATCCGCGTCTCAAAAAGCAGCTCAAATCAATCAGCAATCTATTTGGTCAAGCGGTAATTGATTACTTATGAGAAGTAAAAACATTATGACCGAGGTCCACCTCAAGTGAACCGAGGTCTCAATAGCGGTTGCTTGTAGCAACCCAACCACCAGCGGATACTCCGAGCCCAACTGTGTTATCTGGGAGGGGTTTAATACCTTCACCATCGACCTTGTGACCGAGAAATTCGACCGTTGGCTGACCAAATTTGCATTTGTCCGGGTTAATGTTTATACCGTGGCTTTCTAAGATTTCGAAAACCATTCGGAGGTGTGATAAATGCTCGTCGGGTGGCACTTGCGATCAAAGCATCGTCAATGTAAGCGTAGACGAAATCATGACCACGGAGGACCTGATCCATAAAGCGTTGGAAAGGCTGTGCTGCGTTCCGGAGGCCGGAAGGCATACGAAGAAATTCGTAAAGGCCAAATGGAATGATCACAGCGGGTTTTGTGATGTCTTCCTCCGCCATTAGAATCTGGTGGTAAGCTCTGACTAGGTCGAGTTTGGTAAAGATCGACTTTCCGGCTAGTCCAAGTGAGAAATCGTGGATATGGGGGATAGGATACCTATCCGGAACAGTGTCATTGTTGAGAGCACGGTGGTCACCGCATGGTCGCCAATCGCCTGACTTTTTGACACCAGATGGAGAGGTGATGCCCAGCAGCTGTTTGAAGGACTACAATGCCGAGGTCAAGCATGTGTTGGAATTCCTTTTTAGCTGCCTGAATTTTGCCAGGGCGCAAGAGTCGAGTTTTAACAGTTACTGGCGGACCGGTTGTAACGATGTGATGGCGTACATCGTGTCTAGGGTGGGAAGTATCGTTACCCGCTCGAATGAGGGACGGGAATTGTCGGAGCAATGAGCAGTACTCTGTGTTGTCAGGTATGAGGATGCGAAGCCCGAGAGAATTGACGGAAGCAAGTTTGCAGGGGATGCTTAAATACGTTGTGTCGTCTCGTACATTCCCACAACGTAGGTCGACCACAAGACCGGACTTGCTGAGAAAGTCGATTCCGATAATGGGCTTTTGCACATCGGCGATGGTGAAAAGGAAAGGGAAGTTACGCCGTAGTCCGAGACCCAAAGTAAGTAATTTTTGGTCGTAGGTTGGGATTTTAGTCTGATTAGCTACCGTGAGCATTGGACCAGCTGGTTGCAGGGGGCGTTTATCCAGAGAACGGGGGAGAACGCTGACCTCTGCACCAGTGTCAACCAAGAAGTGAAGTTTGGTTGTGGAGTCAAAGACGCATGACAGGCGACTAATAACCTGGCCAGCGACAGCCGCGGCCATTACTGGCTGGCCATGTGGTTTCCCGACGTAGGAGTTGAAAAGGCTTTAGGGTGTTTACACCCTGGACGGCACTTACGCGCTGCGTCTCCGAAACGGTGGTGATAATAACAATAGCAGTGAGACTGTCGTGTACGAGAGCTGCTAGAACGTCTGGATCGAGAAACGGATCGTCGCGAGGGAAGGCGGTCGCGTCTGAGGTTGGACAAGATGATCTCTAGGTTAGAAAGTCTCTAGTTGATTGTGTCAAGTAGCGTGGTTCCGGAGGGGTTGCTTGAGGTAGTCTCAGCGACGTGGGATACCGACGTTTTAATAAAGCGTTTCGTGAACTTTATCAGCAGCTTCTGTCAGTTTGTCTAGCAGAAGATCGTCGGCGAGAACAGCTAAAATAGTCGTGGTATTCGCAGGAAGACAATTACTCCACAATTGGCGAAGAACCGAGTCATCCAGTATTGAAGAACCGACGAGGGAACGTATGTGCCGGAGTAACTGAGACGGCATTCTATCTCCAAGCTCAACGCCAGAGAGCAACTGCTGAAGGCGTGTCTCATCTAAGGCTGTAGTGCGCTTTAATATGCCTGCCTTAAGTTTATCATAGGACTCTAGGGGCATAGGATCGAGGATGTCGATGATCTCTGAGGCGATGTTGGACGGCAGGTGAGCAGTCACATATGAAAACATTGTGTACTGGGATGTGGTCTTACGAAAACTGAAAACAGCTTCTACTTGTACGAACCAAACGCGTGGGTTAGATACGTCAAAAGAAGGTAAAACGAGTCCAAGGGAATGTTCCGACGCATTAATAGCGGGCGCGTGAACAGACATTGCGTAGAAATACAGGATAAATATACGCAAAAATCACATATAAATGTGGGGTCACCAATTATGTGGAGGAACCGGCAAAAGAGAATACTCAGTCGGTCAGGTTTAGCACACATATACAATATCCTGATGCGCTTAAACGTTGGACGATCGTAAATCGCGAGGTACGACGAAGTGTACGTGTACGTAGAGTCCGATCGCGAATAGAGCAGGCAGCGACGCGCACAATCACAGCAATCCAGCGGCAACCAAGGTAGAACCACGGAGGACGGGCTCGTAACCAATTGTGTGTATAAATAGTTAATTAAAACAAAGCTGTACAACAACTGCAGCGAAATAGGTAGACGTGAAAATGAAAAATAAGCAAATTATTTACAATCGCTACAAGCTCCTTGTTCTTTTGCTGCGAAAGCTGCGCAGAGGTGTAGTTGTGCCTTTTCTTTGGAACAGGATCCATTTCAACATAAGTTCACTTTAAATTCATTGGACACTGGTTGGCCCGCTCAGTCCGCACAATTGTTGATTCGCACATGGAAGAAATGAGAGTGGCGGAATTATAAGGGATATGAAAGTTAAAAGCTAATTTCAATAAATGCGGATGAAAATAAAAACGATTTGTTAAGAGACATACTAAAGCGGCGTGCTTCAATAGAAATATACAAATTAACCAATAATACAGCAATGGTTTTATTGCGCGGACATTGCTTTCTGGCGCAAAATTTCAACCTAAGTAAATCGCAAAATAAAAGAAAAACCTTTTCTAAGACTAGAATACTGCATAAAGTAGCACAAAAATATACCGGTCTGGAAAAGTTTTAACAGCTGAATACGCATGTACTACTATACACGGCAGAGAACCGTATAGTCTCGGAATTAATAAATAAACAAACAAATACATAGTTAATTCATTGCAATGCACAGCATCAATGGCGTGCTCATAGTAATACAGACATATATGAGCGGCAATTGCACAAATCAGTATATATATTAAACATAGTTTAGGTGTGTATGTGTCTGTTGACATGTAAAAGTATTGTAGTGTACCTTTCACATTTTATTACGTAAGCTTCCGGTCAGCTGACAATATCACCAGCTGTGTCGACTATTCTTTTAAAGCATTCCTACAGCGATCAACCTTCCTTGTGCATCGCCGGCTAACTCTAGACTACCTCGTGTACAACATCTGGGAGCTCCAAAAACACATTTATGGGAACACACGTTGTCAATACATTTTGGCATCCAAGGATGAAGGGTTATTAAACCAGGAAGTCCGCATCTAAAAGGCGTTACCAAAATACGATAGTTGGACCGCCGATATTTGGTGACTCCAACAAGTGGTTACTCCGACAAGTGGTTGACCCGACGTGAGTTCGGATATTTCGACTCAGCAAACATCATCCGGTGAGTCGTATCCAATT